ATCGCTTCTTCAGAACACCAAATGTTCTTTCTATGACATTGCGTAATGACGAATGTCGATGGTTAAACAATTCCTTAGGTCCTGAATAATGATGGCCATGAAACTCTTGCAAGTGATACCGTTGGGAACGAAATGGGGCAAGAAATCCAGACATGTTCGTGAAACCAGCATCCACTAAATAATACTTGCCTACATATAAATAATGAATACACTGTTTTGTCAAACAGATGTAGAAAAAAGAATTCCGAAAAGTGTACCGTATGTTATTTCGAGACACTCACCATTGGGTGGGTATGGGAACTGTAGATCAGCTCTTGTAATAGAGTCAACTAAAATAGCACTGTCGTGAGCGCTACCTTCCCATCCAGAATTAATAAATGTGAACAACATGTCGAAGTCGTAAGCTGCGAGTATATTTTGCGATACCGTAGATTTGCGACCGCGGAATGTATTTTGTCTTGAAGCAGAGACCCATGCATCCACCAATTTGCCATCGATAGCACCGAAACAATCCTAATTGACAGATATTTGTTTGACATTAAAAGCGAAACAAACTTGCATATTACTTTTATAACAAGAGGAAAGAAAAATATCGAACGTTTTTGTTATGTAGAACTTACAGGACAATCAATAAATTCATACCTTGAACCAGGGAAAAAACCTCATGTCATTTAAAATTTTTGCCGGTATCTCATCTTGGTTACGTGGTTTGATAACCGTTGATGCAAGCTTGCATAATGCCCGCATAACAATTTTTATGTGCCGACAAATTGTTTCTGTGGAGTGTTGAAATCTATCTGCCAATAGTCGATGGCGATCATTTTATGCAAAAGTGTATAAAAAAATTCCAAGCAATTCCTCCACACTGATATGCATATGTTCAGTATCGATAAAGCCATTTTGAAGTAAGGTGTCTTTCAATAAAATGAATATTTGTACATCCATTCGCATAATGTCCATCATTGTTTCTGGATGCCTATTCAACAAGCTAAAAATGTAATCATCACCTTTGAATGGACAAGTTCGCTGCGGTCGGCGACTACTTGACGTGTTGATGTGGCCATGCATGAAAGCAATCATCAAAAAATCCATAAAATCTTCAATAACCTCATCCTCCTCTGATGAGATCTCCATTGCATTATTTTCTATGTTGGATGACATATGGTTTCGCCTACATCACAGTAAAAGCATAATTATAAAATAATGTTTGACAAATTGTAACACATACCATTATTGGTGAAACTGAATTAAAAAGTGGCTACATGAATAGTCGGTCTTAGTCATTTACCAGCGTACACTGAAATTCATACGACAACAAAATTTGTTTACTAAGTAGTCATATTGTAATAAGACAACATATTTTTAATAAAACAGAAACTACTTAAAAGTTCAATAAAAGTAAACATACGAAAATAGAAAAGGAAGAGCATCTCATTCAATGAAAAAAAATGATAAAAAACAAAGCAGGAATCATGAAATCATCTTGCACACTGGCAAGGAGATTCGCTAACACAATGAAAACATAACTTCTCACTTCACTGCAAAGCGAGGATCATAGCTAAGCGCATATGGGTAGGAATACGCATAAAAAACCTTCGCCATGCTTTGTCCTTAAACAGTTTCAGTGCCCTAACATACTGCACCGGTGGTATGTCCCCAAGCTCCAGCAACGCATCTCGACATGTATAAAGGGAATACTCATCACCACCTGCACTTACGGCCTTTGTCTCATTTTCTCGTGCACGTGAATGTTCTGCTTTTGCATGTACGTAGGATGTGAAAGCTGCGCACACATCATCGAACCCACTTGACCGTGACTTTTTGGAACGACCACTGTCAGTGTGGCTACTTGTAGGGCCCCTCTTGTGACTTTTGCCATTCGGATCCTTGTACTCATCGTCGAATAAGTCAACATGAATGGCCTCAGCAGCATTACTCCCACCAACATCAGGGTTCCAAAATTTATTTAGCATTTCATCTTCTTCATCTAAGTCAAGGGCTCTTTGTGTGATGCACGAGACAAGGCCATTATGGCACAATAATTTTCAACAATTTCTGTCATTTCTTGGAAATACTCAAATCCTTTTGTCCTAAACTTCTTTACATTTCTTGGAGCCTACAACAATTAAAAATAATGAATTAAGCATATTGTATGTGTCATGAGATATATGAAGGAAAAATTTGAAAATGGTACAGGTTAACGAAAAACCTTATCTCAAAATTCATCGGATACAACAATAGTGCCTATAATGGGATCACATCCCAGACCAGTCTGTGCCTGGAGTCGCTTAAATGTCTGGTAATTAGCTTTCAATCGCTGGTATTTTTGTCTCACCTGCTTTCCTGTATATCGAAATCCATATAGATTGTGCAACTAATTTGCATAATGATTCCAATGCCTAATTGTCCATGAAGTAGTATGGCTCGTTATTTGATTTTTTTTAACCTCCTCCCTTAACATGTTTATTAATTTCATTTCAATTATGGGAGTCCACATTTTGGTATCTTGATTGTCATCAAAATTGTTTTCATCCATCTATAAACATACAAATTATATTTAAACTACTCTGGGGTGAATATAAAAGAATAATAGAGCAAACTACTCTGGGTGTGGATATAAAAAAATAATAGAGAAACAATTATTTATGTAGGAATGAAAACTAATCTTTATTTTCAGCTCTATTAAAAATGTTAACAAAAGCAGATGTTTTGAAGGACAACACAGATAAAAAAAAATAAAACTACATAACATTAATGTTTCCTTGAAGTTGCTAAATAATGTTAGGAGAAACAGAGACAAAAGGGAGAAACAGATTTGAAGGGCAAAAGGGAGAAATAAAAACACATAACTGATTATAAAAACATAACTGATTTTTTGAAGGCACAAACAAAGACAATCCTAAAAATGTTATAACATTGTTTGTATTTAAATAGTAAAAAAATAACCAAAAATTAAGTAAAAGAAGAAGGCCAAGAGAAGAGAAGGAAGAAATACACAGAAGAACTAGCAGAAGAAGAAATAAAGGGTAGAGGGAGGTTGACCGGCCGGATGATCCGGGGTACGATCGACTCAGCTATTTTGCTTGGCAAAAGGTGCAAACGGTTCAGACAGATCATTTTTCATATCTCAAACTATTTGTATACTCGTTTGGACTTCTCAGAAATCATTTGAGAACTGATTTTGACTTCTCAAAAATCATTTGCACATAACAGATGAAGGATATATTTACCAGATTAGTGGGAGTTGAATAGTTATTGCCGGTGATAGAGTGCGTACAGTGACTGAATGAGCGACTTTTTGCTAATCGTCTGATTCAACAATATGTTTCATGAATTTGACCTGAGAGAAATAAATAATTGGAATAAAATTAGGGATGATTTTTTCAAATTAGTGACCGATAAGAAAATATGTGAAATAAATTGCTGAGTTATTTGACCTCGCACTGTCGTTGTTTGGTTGCTCGTAGAAGAAATCGTCCACAACGCACAAATTGTAAGTCGCTCGATTTGTGAGAGATGGTATGAGTTGGGAGCGGGTTCACAGGATTCATCATTTATAAAATGGTCTAAGTTCTCTGTGAATACTACCCGTGACGAATTGGGTTGTCATGATCTTTGACACAGAGAAAGAAAGATGGGTAGATCAGTTCACGTGAAACTTTTCAGAGAGACGATGGACATGGAAGCCTTTCAGAAAGGAAGAGGAAGGAGGCTGAAACGTTGAAAGTAGAGAACTGAATCACAAGGCTGCCAAACAGGTTTTCAAATTGTAGTTTAAATTATATGGTGGAATTGTATTTTGAAAGTGGTATCCAAACGTGATGCGCGAATGATAGTATTGAAATGTAATTTAAAAACGCAACCAAATAGAGCCTTAGATGCGTACTCTGTATTGTCCATTGTTGACTTGAATAGGAAATATAATAAAAGAATGATTAATTTGAAAATACTATAGTTTGCACTTTTTTTTTATTATCAATTAGTTTTTGACCATTTTGAATTGAGATATAATAATAATAAAAAAAATTTCATTAAATTAGAAGGATCAACCAATCTTTTGAGATGCAAATAGAGCCATCTGGTTAAATTGGTCAAACTTTGCTACAAAATTGAAAATTAAACTTAATAAAAAAATTAAATTTCAAGATATAATAATAATAAAATATTTTCATTAAATTAGGATGCCAATAGAGGGACTCAGGTTGAATTGGTCAAAATGGGTTACAAATCTAAAACTTAAACATAGGAGTGGCAAAATTACCAAATCTAATTGTATTTTTTCCAATCCAATTTTGTTAAAATAGGTTTGGAAGAAAATTGATGGGGTCAGATAAATTATAGACGTAAGAAGGGTTAAATTATCAAAATTAGAATAAAACATAAAATTGTATCGATAAAGCAGTTGATTTTTAAATAAAAAAAATTGCGTACAAAATCCAAAAAACCGATCCATTTGTCAAACTCGGGTGAATAGCACCTTTTTCTACTAAATTAGGTTTGATAATATCTTGATCAGGTGTAGGAAAAGCTTTTACACCTAACCGTGATACAAACAACTCCCTTCCCAAACAAGCCCAAAGGAGGAGGTTCACGATGAAAAACCCTAGCTTAGCCCCTATAAATACATAGCAACTCTCAATCTAGTATCACCACAAGTTTAAGCCGTTTGAAGTTCCATCACAAAGGTTTTCTAGGGTTTCTCATCTTCTTCCTCGTCCTCTTCTTGCTTATAATTGTTATTGTATTTTGAAGTTGAAATTTTGATAGAGATCGCAGTGATGACTCCATGAAATTCAAGCTCAACAGACCGGAATGCAGGTTTCTCTTTCTAGAGAAATTTGGGTGTCGACAACCCCGCTGAACTGAGCGATTCTCTATCTTTCTCTCTCTATATGTCTATATATATATATATATTTATATTTATAGCTGTGTCTATGTATATATGAATTTGATTTCTGATTAGATTGTCAATTTTGCTTTTTCCGTTTGATTTGGGAAGATGAGGTTGCGATGAGGATAAATAAGCTCCCTCTTCTGAACTGTAAAGTTGAGGAAAAATGCTGGCAGAATCGAACCTATAACTTACTTATGCCACCACTGAGTAGTCTCTTTTCCCAAGTTTAAATTTTGCTTCTTCTTTGTCTTCTTAGGCTTTTATGTCTCCAAAAAAGATTGTATTTTTACTGAATTTTATTTGTTATTGTGTTGATTGTAATGTGTATGTGTGTTCTGTTTTTTGGGTTTGTTCAGATCTTGTAAGGAAATTTGGCTGTAAAATGGAAGGACTTGGATGGTTAAAATTTTGATCTTGAGAACTTTGTTTATGGGCATGAAATATGTAAAAGTTAGTTATTTAAAATGTTTTGTGCTTTAGGGTTCTAGTTTGATAATTTTTTAAAAATAAAGTACTTATATTTTCTCTTCTCAATCCACCTATAATAGTTCCTTAACTTGAAATATTTTCATTCAAACAGAGTCTTAGTTTGCATTAGTTTTGTTCCAAAGAAGATTGTGTTTATTCTGATTTCTCTGTTTATGTGCCGATTGGTTTTTTTTTTTTTTTTTTTTTTTTTTTTTTTTTTTTTTTTTTTTTTGTGGTTATTCTGATCTTTGACCCCAAAAGATTGCATATTTTCTTAATTTTATTTGTTACTGTGCTGATTGTAATGTGGATCAGGATGAAGCAACATTGAAATAAATCCAACACTTGATCTGAGGCATTATCTGTCATGTGATGCTAACCTTTGCTTCTGAATCTTATTTTATGGATTTTTCAAATTCATGATGCTTTTCATAGATTTTTTTGAAGATTGGGTTTTATAATAGTAATTATTATCATGATTTTATTTTCTCATCATTTTACCCCATTTGTTAACAGAACTTTACCTTGAATATTTGTCTCTTTTAGCAATTAGCAATTGTTTTGTTAATAAGTAATTACAATTAATTTTTCCATGTTTTGTCAGTATATTCTGTAAATTAATTCCTGAAGTGGAACCCTTTTAAATAGTATTTATACAAATTGCAATGGCTTCATTTTAAAAAGGAAAATGTTTGGTAACTCAAATTTTTGCGGCTCAAATGGCTCAAATCTGTCAAAACGACGTCGTTTTACACTCAAAATCTGTCAAAACGACGTCGTTTTGACAGATTTGAGCCATTTGAGCCACAAAAATTTGAGCTACCTAGCATTGTTGTTTTAAAAATTAGATACAGATGTAATTCAGTTTGAAGCAAGTGATCAAGGATAAAGAATGATGGGATTTCTTAATTTTGTATTGCTAAGTTGCTTGTAGGCACTTTTGCATTTGAATTCTTGTGCAAAAATGCCATTGTAGTGTCCATGTTGTGGGTTGTGTGAATGAGGATGACAAATAGTTTTTGGCATTATTGACATGAAGCTTTGCCTTTGATTTGTAAATGTTGCTTTTGTTTATGAAGTATTATATGTATTTCTTAGTTCGATTTTTTCATATCCTTAGCAAGCTATAATCAAGTGATGAAGAATGGAAAAATCTTAGGACACCATTGGACACAGCTTTTTGAAGTTGTGGGTGAGAATACCATTTTTCTGATGACGTGAGCTTCACTAATATATAACTTTTTTGGTTTTTGGTTTTGGTTTTGATTTTGGTTTTGGTTTTGGTTTTTAAGAAAGTTTTAAAAAATATTTTTCAGAATTTTTTTTTTGTTTTTAATGAATTTTTTAATATTTTAAATAATTTTTTTATTAATATTGAGACTTATTTAATATAAATATATTTAAAAAATATAATATTTGTGAGAAAAACTTTACAAAAATCCATTGAATACAACAAAATAAGATAATGTATTGAATTTTTATATTTTTTGTATTTGGTGAATTTAAAAAACAAAATCACAAAATATTATACTTCTTAAGTATATCTACATTAGGTGTATTTAAAAAATAAAAAAATTACTTAAAATATTTAAAAA